CCTCACTTGAAACTACGGCAAATGTTCATTTTCATTCGTTCCGTTCGCGCTTACCTTCACTCAAAATCTTCACTATCCGCCATCAATAGTGTCTTTTCCAACTGCGTGTATTCCAGTTCGTTTTCTTCCTTGATCCCTCTTTTCCCTGTTCTTGTTACCATTTGAAGCACATGTTCCTCGAACCACCAACATGCACAATTTCATCGTCTGTTGGCAGGTTTAAGCCCGAGAGCGGTTTCGACCTCATTTGGCTGCCGAGTAAACGTGGCGATTTGCCTGCAAGGCGCCTCCAGCCCCGAGCCATCCACAGTGTATGTCGATCTTAGAGCGCTCCGCAACGATAGAGTCAGTTTGGTGGAGCGAGGCAGCCCGCATAGTCTCTGTCTGATGGAAAGCGGCAAACTGCTGCCGGGCGTGAAAGTGATTATCGCCAATCCGGAGACCAAAGGTGGCGAATCACGCGTTCCAACGATACAACTAATGGACGAATGGACTAATGGGACATTGAATGTTTCAGGACAGTGCGGCGATTCGCATCTGGGCGAGATTTGGGTGCAAAGCGGACACAATGCGAGCGGCTATTATACGATACTGGCCGAAGAATCTGAGTACCGAGACCATTTCAATGCGCGGCTAGTCACTGGAAATACTGGCGAAATTTACGCCAGAACGGGTTATTTGGGCTTTTTACGCCGAACTGAGGGCGTCGAAAGGTAAACTCCATCGTCCCGATGAAGCAGCATGATTGATTAATTGGCCGATTCGAAGCAGTTGTGCGGAAGAAGCCGTTCTGAACCAGAGCGACAACGAGTCGGTGGGCTCCTCGCACCATTTGGTTCCGACCGATTCGCCCGAACTGCACGATGCAGTTTTCGTAGTGGGCTCCCTTGACGAAACCATCATGTTGAGGGGCATGCGATACCATCCAATCGACATTGAAAACTCCGTCTTAAGGTGTCATAAGAAAATCGGCGAATGGTGAGTAGTAGCAACCTGAAGATGTCCTATAGATCCAAAAAAAAGTGAATAAGTCCTAGCCATTGCTTGGAACTACATACATAGTTGGTTGTTGTTTCGATTTTTCAAACCAACCATATCTTCATTTTTTCGCAGACTGTTTGTTGGGTATTTCGCCTCAAAAATTTTTGCCTTTAAAAAAGACAGAATTTCCTCACTTCTTTTATTACAGATTGATAAATGGTGCTCCTATTTCGCAATAAGAACGAATTATTTATCGAAAAGTAATCAAGAATTATCACCTAGAGGGTAGCCTGCGACACACTTAGGCTCAAGCTGTAAGAGAAAAAATTACCTTGACGTTTCGATAGCTATTTTCTGCTATCGTTATCAAAAGAACCTACATGAACCTAAAAAAGAGTATGTTAATAAATTGTATAACAATAGTAGGATAATACAGTATATGAAAATTCGCTCTGATAATTCGCCTGTGCTAATTGTCTATTTATCAATCTGTAATAAAAGACGTGAGGAAATTATGTCTTTTTTAAAGGCAAAAATTTTTGAGGCGAAATACCCAAAAAGAAGTTTGTGAAAAAATGAATCCGCCTCAACAATCTAGAATACCACTAAACGATTCCGTTTGTTTCCAGTGCGGTTTTTACCTGGACGAATCTGCTGGTGGTCGTAGTGGAACTGGATGGAAACGAAAGCGAAGCACTGGATCTGGTCCCACTCGTGACCAATACGGTGCTCGAAGACCATCATTTGATTGTTGGTGTGGTTGTTGTTGTTGATCCGGGCGTGATTCCGATCAATTCGCGCGGTGAAAAGCAAAGAATGCACCTGCGGGACGGCTTCTTAGCCGATCAGTTGGATCCCATCTACGTCGCGTACAACATGTAACGTAAAGCCCATGGTTTCTGCATGAAACACAGCAAAAAACGACTAAAACTTAAGCAGATGTCCGTGTAGTTTAGTGGCTTGATTTGAGCGAGTATTTTCATGGTTTTCTAAACGACTCAAAAAAATTATGCACAATCCCTATTTTCATATATTTTTTACAAATGCAGCTCAGTTGAATCATTAGCTTCAAGCTAGTGCAAGCTGTATTAAACACGGACTTCAGATAGAAAATAACAAGAGACTGCTGTTTGAAAAAACTGAGTAAAACTGCCCTTAACTAGCTAGAGATGTAGCATGAAACCTAGCTTTTTAACGAGTATTTGATACCAAAATCAAGAATCCGGATCAATTTCATCACGAATCATGTTACTAGCACAAATTAGTCGAAGGAGACACTTTTAGATTTTGGATAGTTCATAATTAGCAGCTAGATACGTTTGTACGGGGTGTATGTTTATATCTGCCATAATTATCGTGATTTTAGTGTTATAATCAGTGCTATCTTTTGGAAAAACTATTGTCTGGACAGCTAAGCATTATACACGATCGATTTCCCTTGCTTCAAGGCCCAATTTTACAATAACCTACCGAACCAACTAGCTACTATTGCGTTTCCACCACATGCTCTCCATATATGTGTGTGTGTTTAGCATTTCATCATATGGCGCAAAATTCGGCTCAACTCTATCACCGTAGTTTAGTACCTACTTCCTTCGGTCTGGTCACAAGTACGCCTATTTAACGCATACGTCTAATCTTTCTCACACAACTAAAGTGATAACGCGTGTTGATGTACCATATGTATGGCCAACCAAAATTTAGGCCCTTTGTATAGTTTTATGTAATATTTAGACGAAAGTGTACAGTTTATTAATTTTTAGAGTTGTCTTTGTCATTCGTTGTGCAATACCGACTAAAATTGATTTGCGGCATTCTCCCACTTTTAATGTAGGCGCTAGACTAAAAAGATAGGGACCAATTTCTACTGCAATGATTGGCTCCTATTGATAACTTGTCCTAGAAAATATTGGGTTTTTCATCCACACTCCATTATGAAAAAAACTGCGTTTGCCAACATTTGACTAATATACTAGTCGTATAATTTCCGTTCATTGGCTGCTATGATTAGGTGGGAAAGCATAATCTTCCCCATCGCACATTCGTTAACGAGCAACTCGATTATTTCAATGCTCAATTAGCTTCGTTAGTATCGTAGTCTTCTGCGTTTTCTGCAACTACTCACATATTTATGTTCGCTTCAGTTTTGCACACAACTCCCTTCGAGTACGACAATAGTTTACGTTTAATTTTGTATATATTAGTTAAATCAATGTAGCCATTTAGAGAGTTCCAGAAAGATGTATTTGATTATGTTCTGTTAAAAACGACCGAGTAAATTACCTTTGTGAACCCATTGCAAATAATAAATGTATCTTTATAAAAAAAAAATCGTCCCGATAATTTCCAACAAATTATGCGCAACTACCACTAAACATCTCGTTATAGTCGTTGATAAACGTGTGCAAGCGCTCATCTGAAACAAAATTGAGAACTTCATTGCCAATTTCGGCTGCAAATAGCAATGCTTACCGCTTTGAAGAACCGAGGCGAACTTTGGATGGTTGCGAAAATAATACAAAACACTATGGAACAGTGTCGGATCTCCGGAGCTTTTGGCTGCAGTCAGGAACTTTCTTGGGTTCGCCTCGTCTTTGGCCAGTTTCAACGCCGATAAGATCTGGTGTTCGCTCAGAAGCACCTGAAAATACACGTTCGATCATTTACTGTAACCGTATTAGCTAGACGGAGCGGCACCAAAGCAAAAACAGGGTTTACCTCTTGAATTTCATCATTTGCCTTTAGTCGTGCCAGCATATCTAAAGCCATCTGCGTCGAGGAACTGTGCATGTTGCCAAGAGATAGCAGAAGCACCGCCAGCGGCTTGGAGTCGGTGATTACGCCATACTGTAGCAATTGCTGAAGAGCGTTGAACTTGTTCTGTCTAGCCTGAAAATAGTAGACAATTAAAAAACTATGTTAAAAGTTAGTTTAGACTCACCAGTGTGCTTACTAGAAGCTTATTCAAGTTGAACTGCACCGGAATTCCATATTCAGCCAACGACGTGAGATAACAGACCAAAACCCGTTCGATTTTCAGCAAATCCGCATCGGCGCTCATTGTCTGGAAAATCTCCTCAAACATGGCGTTTTGATCGATCAAAACTCGAGGACTGGACTGGTTCTTTGAGGCACTGGCAGGACAAACGCTTTGATTTTGCACCTCCCTATCAACCCAATCGCGATAGACCAAGTTGATGTGATTGAACGACTCTTGCAGCTTGTTCATGTCGGGTTTGTCCGCTTTAATGGCATCAGACAGCAACTGCAATCCCAACTGCTGTTCAAATTTGATTGCATTATTTTTTTCAAATGCCTACCGTCAAAAGCACTGGTTTGCCATCGGTTCTGTTTAGGGCCAGCTGTGTGCAAACGCTCATATCCTTGATTTGCTGGCATAGTTCCGATAAGCGCAGCTTAATATGCCAGAGGCAGCCCAGTTTTGCGTCGATCACTATGTTGGGTTGAAACACCACCCAATTGGGCGAATCTAGACGAAATATTCAGGAAAACAACGCCTCAATGGGTGATGGAAAAGAGTTACATTGGAAAAAGCATACAGAGCTCGCAGGCGTGCGATTGAGGCTCGACCAAGCCGGGCAATGTGATGCTGGTGGGTTTGAGCGACTTCATAGGGGCGACTGTTGTATGGTACCTGACGCTTCCATCACTTTCCTCAGCTAGTGCAATGTCGAATATTTGAGAGCTGCTTGAGGCCTGAATGGACGCTTATTAAAACCCCAAAGGCCAGTACATTATCACAAAAAAAAGTTTGTAAAAAAAAAATGAATCCGCCTTAATCTAGATATTATACCTGATGATGAACCAAGATCAAATCGTCCACTACATTAATAGCAAAGCGTCCAGAAAGACCCAACTTCAGCACGTGAGCCTTCACGGGACTCTGGCCGGGAACATTCAGCAAATGCACATGCACTTCAGCAGTATGCGGTCCACTTTGGTGCCTCAATATTAAGACCGCTGCCGTTCCGTACAGGGTGGACAGAGTCACATCCCCTTTCAGTGCCATTCTACGCGGCTCAGCTACAAAGAGTCCAGCTCAGTCTCTACTCATCAAATATTGGAAATCAACTCACTTTCAACTTTGGGCAACTTGCTGATCGAGCCCTGCTTAATAGCAACTGGCTGTAGCTGGGAACCATGCGACGACGCTAGAATCGCGATATTGTTGCGAGGACACCACACAAACCACTGCACAGTTATTGAGGTGGATTTTAACTGCTTGAGCGCCTTTTTGTCGGGTATAACTGTGTAGAGCTCCACTCCATGGTCGGTTATCACAGCTGAAAAAACCTTCTAGTAACTACTTGCGTTGACAGTGAGTTTACGTAGGTACCAAACTCGTTAATGTCCGACCACACGAATCCCAAAATGCTGGCATTCCTTTTGCAGCTTATCGAGTACTCGACCACCAAGTGTTCTTTGTTAACATTCATAAACTCGATGGAAGTGTTGTTCCTTTGCACAGCCAGCACTTTGTGGTCCAGGGACAGTTTGATTGACAAAACGGTGCCCTGGTCCTCCATGCGAAAGTTCAACACTTTGCCATTCTCTTTGGGGCCCTGAAACAAGTAGAGGTCTGAGTACGACAATGCTTTACCAGCAACACAATTTACCTTAACCACAACCCCCATCACGCCCCCTGAGCGGACAGTAAAAACATCCTTGTTCGAATCATCAAAGAACACATTCGTCAGTTGATTGATTGGCTCAAATCGAACTGGATCGTCCGATAATTCCAAATAACAATCGGAAAAAGCGCTCATTTTCCTTTGTTTGTAAACAACTTCTGACAATTTGCTGTTTTCACGATTGTCCCAAACTTGTCTTGTATTTATGACAACTGTTGGCAGGGTGGCCATTCGTTCGGTAATTTGGGCAGTGTAGGTCCCGAACGCGTTACCGTGCGCCAATTGTACGGTATGTACAGTATTCCAGATTGAATATATTTTTTTGTTTTTTGCTCACTAAGCCGATAAAATGCGGTATTTTCAAACGGCTTGTACGGCACTACGCGCTTGAAAGGGAAAAGTTGGCCACCCTGATTGTTGGAAAACATAACCCGCATCCAAGATGCCAAGTTGTCATCAACAGCTGCTTCCAGCTCAAAACCAAACTGAGTCCTATTTTCAAAAACAAGTAGCTTAAAGCCCCTCTCCCATGTACAATGCTTCCTAACAACATGCAGCACCAATACTGGGTGACAAAGAAAAGTGTTCTGAGAAAGTTGGGAGGAAAGGAGGATGAGTGCGTCATTTCTTCGGACGCTGAGCTCGATGCTAAGCTGGAGCTGTTCAAATCTGTTAACGACAGCTGCATGCAGCTTCAGCGAGTAATTGATCTTTATCAGGAGCGACTGTGCTATTTGGCTCAAGAAGAAAACGCCCTGGGAAGGTAGCAGGTCGAACTCTTGAACTTCCCCCCAGCTCAAGACTGCTACTGGTTTTTTGCAGATATCTCAAAGAATGCGGCAAAAATGAGAAGAACGCCAGCGCCGGCCAGCTAATGGCAACAGCTGGAAAGGCTCTGGCCTATACAGGGCATCAGCGACTAACTGTTAGGCCCCCCTTGGTGCGGCTGCACCATGAGGTGGAAACCTTTCGAGTACGGGCAGTGACAGACACCAGGTAGAGAAAGTGCTAAAAAACCACGCAATAACAAGAAAATTGGGACTTTCCAGAGTAACTGTCTCAGAAATGGAAAAAGCCAGAACTGAGTACAGAGCAGCGCTGAGCTGGATGAAATCGGCGTCCAGCCAACTGGACCCCGACACTGGACATGGCTTGGACAAGTTCAGAAAAGCCCAGTCCTACGTGAAAACCAGCAAAACCAAATTCGATCGATACACATTGGCGTGTTTGCAGAAAGTCGATCTACTCGCTGCTGCCCGGTAAGCACAACGTCCAATTTTGCCCAGAAACCAGTAAAAACTGCCCGTTCCAGATGCAACATGTTTTCGCACGCGCTCGTTCCCTACCAGAACGCTTTGCATGTGTTTGCAACGAAAGCACTGGAAACCTTAACGATAGCAGCTACCAAATTGCTGAAAGTTGAGCCTTACGACTTCAGCGCCGTCACTGGATTGGCCGAATCCCCGAAAGATCAACCCGCAAGCAAAAAACCAGAGATTAGTGAAGGTAATGGACGCAAAACATTGAAGAATCAGACTGGGCATTTTCTGGCTAATTTCAGAGCAACAGTCGAGCGACGACAAAGACCGAAACACCTTCTTCAATGCTGAATATTCCGACAACGCTGCCAGCAAAGACCGCGGAAGCGCAAGCATGTTGCAAGAAGAAGCACAGGGGTGAGTGAAAAACCGCTCATAATCGCGCAAATCTACTACTTCCATACTCGCTTTAAAGGGAAAAGGAGGAACAAACCTCCAACCTGCTGGGGGATGATTTCGCCCTGCCACCCATCCCAACCCCGAACGAAATCGACCAATCCAAACCCAGCGCAGCCCTACTGGACTTCGGGCTCAGCTCAACCGCCGACTCTTTGGCGGATCTGTTGGGAAATGGGGCCAATTTCATGCCGTCGAGTCTCATGCAAGATGGGGCCTTATACGACTTCAACAAGCCGCAAGACTTTCAGCCTTTCGAAGGTAGTAAAACGGCGGAAAGTGGCAAAAAGCCCCCGGAGTTAACATCGCAAGGCGCCGAGAAAGCCGGAAATCACATGTCGTGGCTGAGTCTTTTCGCCGAACTGGATCCGCTAGCCAACGGCGTTTTGGAGAATAATTTGGCTGGTGATAGAGCGTAATTTTCAGCTAAGTGATCGGAATATACCATACTAGTCATTCCATGTTTTTCGGAGCTTTGATTGCGCTTGTTGTGTCTGGTTTGGGAGCGTTCAAGCATTATTTAACTATACATTTGCCTCCAGATTAGCACAGCTCGGGGAGGTTTCATTCAAGAACGTCTGAAATGTGCTTGCAAAACCGCATTTTAAAGGAATAATTTGCTAGATTAGTGTTAGCTTTAAGGGCGGCATAAAACTGCTGTTCCATTCGACATTGTTTTTTCACTTCACCGTTTGTTTTGCACTCTAGTCTAATAAATCCAAAGAATATTTTAAGATCGGGTTTTATATTATACACTAGCCGATTTACGATGAAAACAACAATTTGTTTAAAATATAACCGAAAGCTTTCTGAAAAAACGTACAGGCGCTGTTTAGGCGGTGGAAAATGCCTTTTTTTGTTCAAACTGATCTCAAGTTGAACGACCAGCCAAAGTATGTATCTAAGCTGTTATGTTTTTATCGTAAACCCACTGTATAGTCTATGTTTTACGTGATGTGAATCTACTTTATTATATAGATATATATATTAAACAATCAATAAAGGTATGTAAGTAAATAATTGAACAGCAAATGCATTTTTCATTTGCCCCCATGATATTTGGGTGTGTGTAAGAATGTAGAAGTATAATGTGGACATTCTGGTGGAGGTTATGTTAAGAGAATGTCGGCAGAAAGTTGCTTTTCCTTACCCAAAACGGCTCTAATGGATATCCAATAAACTTCCATGGTCACTAAAAACACATACACTCAAAAATTTAACGATTTTTTGCTCGAAAAACTGAAAAATTGAATTTAACTTACATTTCCTTGACAACTCGCTTCGAAAATGTCACATTTAAACGCGAAAAAAAAATGGCCGGACTTTCAAGTTTGTGCTATTGGCACCATTGGGGTTTGGTGACAATTTCTTTGGCCGCTGTCAGCACCGAGAAGTCAGTGTCAACAAAACAAGCAAAAAACTAAGGAAAACAATAGTTTGCATATTTGAAATACGAATTGTTTCCAAATAATACGGTCGATTATCGCGGCGGTAATAGCATTAAAGCATTGAAATCGGTTGACAGGCGAAATCTGTGTAAATTACATCAAATAGCCGCAAAGAATCGCATGATAATTGGAAATCTGGGTGTGGATGAAATGTTTACAAATCAATCTCTTCAGTAAAATGGATCTTGCTAAAACGAGCCCCACAAAAAGTGGCCCAGGTAAGAGGGGATTAGCGCGCTGCATTAAACCCGCTTGTTATCTATTGATGTTCCCTATCAGTTAGCAATATTGGAGATAACGAAGAGCCTTATCCAAGTTTGTCGGATTATCATGACTACGAACCGAATCTTGAGTTTGACGACTCCGAGTTGCAACAAACCCCCAATTCTAGTTCAATTTCAGGTAAGCTTCACTACAATTTAGCCTGCAACACATGTACTAATCTAGTGACAAAAAAGTTTACACAACTGAAACATAAATAAGGCAAGTTTCGTCACACAGAAGAAAGGGCAAACAAAGCCGATTAGATTAATCCGAGTCACTGAATTGCGTTGAAAGTGACTAACGCTTGATTTATAGAGGATTTTAACGAAAATGCATTTTCAGCGGACTTCATACACATCGAAGCGAACGGTGTTATGGTGATGAACAACTCACCAGTAGCGGAGTTCATAGACGAGAACTATGAGGAGGAACTGGCCGACGCTCGCGATGAAAACTTTGATAGTTTAATTTTCACATCCTCATCATATCCTGAGGTGAATCTTTGCCAAGATCTGAAGAGTTCCCAACTAAGAACCATCATTCTAATTCCAGGTTGGTGAAACCACCAGTACTGAACAGTACAGTGAAATATCGAAATACAATATCGTCGATGTGAAGGGCGATGATGCCGAAGGGCGCAAAGTGATCGTTCTGTATGCATGCAGGTTGCCCCCAGTGCGTGAAATCGACCATGGACTGTTCTTAAAGTAAGCGCGCAATGAAGCGAAAAGCCCCATTTCACCCCCTGTTCAATTACAGCTACCTTAAGTATACGTTAGAGTCCTACGTGAAGCAGGATTACAGCCTGATTTATTTCCACTATGGCCTAACCAGCAAGAACAAACCCAGCTTGGGCTGGCTGGTCCAGGCTTACAAAGCCTTCGATAGGAACTACAAGAAGAATCTAAAGGCGTTGTATTTGATTCATCCCACGGGCTTTTTGAAGTTTGTTTCGCAGGTTTGATGGCGCACTGTTTTAACGCGGACGGGCGTTCATTAAGCGGCAAATGTTTTAGATCTTCAGGCCCCTGATTAGTGCCAAGTTCGGAAAGAAGCTGAATTACATTCACAGCCTCAAGGAGCTGAACGATGTGGTGCCAATAGAAAAACTCGACATTCCCTATGAGATTCTCGAGTGAGTTGCTCTTGGCAGCAAAGTGCTCCGTTAACTGAAAATTTCCAGGCACGACAAGAAGCTGAATGGCAACTTGCCAGTTGCTCCAGATGCCACTGTAAAGCCCGAAGTCATTCCAACGCAGCAATTTGGAGTTACGCTCCAGTTTATAAAGGAGCACTACAACGTCACAATACCTCCAGTAGTAAAACAGTGCATAGAGTATTTAGAGCAGCCTGATGGTAAATGGCTTTCAAGAAAACTGGTCGAGATCACTAAAAAAACCCATTTTAGCTTTAGAAACCGAGGGCATCTTTAGGCGGTCGGCCAACGTATCGAAAGTGCGGGCGCTCAAAGAGAGGGCAAATTTGGGAGAATCTTTGGTTTTCGAAGACCCGCATGAACCGGCAGTTTTGCTGAAAAAATTCTTGCGGGAACTGCAAGAGCCGCTGCTTACTTACGAGCTTTATGATGAAATAATGCAGTTTCAAAGTAAGACTCGGGCAATAAATCTTTGTTGAAAACTAGCACAGATTTATCAAAATAGATATACTTTCGAGACTATTCCTGGAAGCTAATGGGGTTTTCGGCCGTCGTTCGGTAGAATTTCTTCCAGACGTTTCGCAAGCACGAGTGGCTTGCATCTTCAGAAGTGGTTTGCTTGAACGCTTACACTGTTCTCATCAGAACCCGCGT